CGAAATGAGACTGCAACCACACAAAAGGCCACACCATCTTGGTCTTCACACCTTTACTTATTCATTATTAAGTTCGTCAATCGCATGATTGACTCCTTCCTCATCTTATTTCCTGATATTATCTCTGGATGTAGATCTAAGGTTAATACCAAGGCATGTAAGGCCCCAATCACCGATATATTCATGCACATCGATATTACATCAAAACTTACAAGCAAATCTTCTTGTTCTACCATTGGTTCATCATTTGACTTATTAAAGTCATGTGAATTCTTTATTAAAAATTTCCAGACCCTTAGATTCGCTTTAATTGACCCAAATGGAATCGTGATGCTTTATGCATTCACAACCCTTATTGTTCACGATGCTGTAGAGTCTTTAGTTATAATTCTATACCAATCAAAATCAGCTAAAGCCCTCATTATCACCACAAAAAACTGAGGGCTCTCCTCCATTTTTTTCCGGTGGCCCCGGCCTTTGATTCTTTAAGCCTCGAAATTGCACTGCGAATTAAAATCAACCTAACACTCTATCTCCAGAGAAAATGTAGAGCTCCAACTTTTTGGCCCCAGCAGTCTTATTGGAATAGCCTTATTCGTTATACTGTTTTCTCCCGGGTGACAGACATTTTTTGGTCTGATAGTCTGAGCAAAATTCGACATAGTCGGACGCTTTGATAGTTGCCCCCTGATTCGCTACTTCAGCCACTGGAACGTGCTTTATGGGAAATTATTTCCTCCTAAAGAAACATTTTCGTTACAGACTTGTCTCATCTGAAGATCCTGAAATTGCCTTATAGCCACAGTAGCTTTTTTAACGGCGGCTGAAGGCAAGTGCCTGCTTGAAAGATGTTGACGATTCTTTGGAATCATGACCTCACGAAATTGTGACCAACAGAAAATCGGACACTAAGCTGGCTCCCCTTGCACTGATTGGCAAATTTATACTGCCCTCCTTAATCCTACTTGGGCCAGCTATTGATCGATTCTATTTATTCGAATTATCGCCATAACCTGGCTGCCCTAATTATGTCACGGTGGAGCGGTTTATGCTAGAAAAGGAGGAAATTTGCTAATTGCTTTTGGATTGTTTCGTTTTTCTCCTGTGTACATAACTACCCCAGCAATAAATTTCACTGTGCCAGGAATACTTAATGTCGCTCCAGCTCTTCTATCAAAGCTAAAGGTCCCGGATGTCTGATAAACCAAAATTGGAGATAAAGGATCCAGCTCCAGCTGAAAGGCAGTCTTTCAAACGGCATCAAGATGGGTTTGGCATCCGTGATGAAGATATAAAGAACCTTGCTAAAATGCTGAATGACGACTATCCATCTTGCTCAGAAGACCCCGACCTGGAAGAAAAAATAACAGACATAGCTATTGAGGTGAAAATGGTTAACAACGGCAGCTAAGTCTATTCTTCGCCCGCTTGGATTTGGTTATAACAATACTACGGCTGAGTGGAGTCGCTAAGATGTATGATTACAAGATAAAATTGGCTTCGTCTCATGCTGATCGCTGGTCGAAATTCCACCATGAGCTCATTTAGTTGACTTTAACATAAAATATCCTTAGGAGAGTGAACATTCTTACTGTTTATTTAAGCATATGTGATGATACGAGAAGTGAAAGAAAGAGGTATGTTTGGTCAACTAGTCAAAATTACACTTGACTCATTGTTTGATCATCATTATTTCCACATACATGAAATAACTAGCAGACATCCCAAATAACTAGGTTGCTAGACAGAGTTTGAAAGACTACTTTATTTATTTTGCTTGCCAAACGGCCAACTTAATGGTCGGTGTATTTTTTTCATTCTTAGAGCACTGCGAATTTGTGAAAACTCGAAAATGTTGGTCTTTAATTTTGTTGTATGCATATATCAATGGGATCGAGATTCAGGGCTTTATATTATTGAATTTTTATTCGAACTTGATGTAAACGGACGAAATCAACAACCAAACTTATATGAATGCTCAAGCTTAGCCGGCATTTCTCTCCTTATTACAATAATAGATCCATGATGCCCAAAGTAAAGGCTCAAATAAGAGGCTCCCTACTTTCGACAATGTACCAAAGTAAGTGCCGTCTAAAGCCAAAAATGGTCATGTGCTGTAACTCCCTCGTATATAAGTCCCGTGTTCTAAATGGTAATGGAACATAGCCTATTGCTTTTTTCATCTGTTTATACGTTTCGATTGTACTAGACCGTGAAAGGGAGCGTGTAACTTATAGAATGAGCACAGTTTCATGAAATCATTTCTAGAAGCTCATGAAGTTTCCTATAACGACCCCCCTCCACAAAGCCTATGATTTTACTCCTTACACAAAATTGATCTAGCAAACCGCAATTTTAGATTTTGTGCCCGATAAAGTAAAATGTGAAAATATCTCAGTTCACACAGGCAAGTATATTATTCTTATTTGCCCGAGCGCATGCGAGGATCACAGCTGGACTTTTCTGAACGGTACAGTGACCTTCTACCACTAACTAGTTGGGTGTCTCCTACCACCTATGACCATTGGAAATTCCTCCATGTATTCTTATGTTTGCCCAACTTTCTTCCAAATAGCTCCCTTATGGTTATGGGCTACATCCAGAGTCCTGAAATCTACATGGATATTAAATCAGTAAAGGATGCTTACTTAGAATTTTTCTACTATTATGACAAGCTAATTATAATACACTCTTGTGATACACCGGAATAATCATTAAGAACCTTTGCACATGAAAATTATTACTATAGCACCAAACGAATGAAGGATGTTGTTGTGATGATGTTCCAGATGATGGAAATTAGCTTGGTTGTTGTAGTAGAAAGTATTCTTTGCCGTCACTCATGCTTTTCATACTTACCGGCAGCCGCTGGAGCAGTTGGTGGTCACTGGAATAAGAATTGACACAACCTTTCTAAAGAGAGAGTGTTTTAAGAAAAGAGCAGTGCCCAAAGAATGTTTAAATATTTTTCTAAGAACGAAATAAAGAAATTTAGTTCTAACTCAATTCTAAGCATGAGATGGGAACAATAAGTCCAAAAGGGTCAAATTAATTTGCTGTTATTTTTAGGTTTAATTTTCAGCGTGTTTGTGCTATTGTTATCGAACTCTCTCGAATTGTTTCTTTATGGATTTAAAATGAATCTGAAAATGATGGAGTGAAGAAAATATTTACATTATCGGGAATGCAATCTGTTTTGAGTATCTAAAAAACCAAAACAATCAAATATATTGGTAATTTTAATGGCTTTTATTCGATACATGTATGGCTCAGCTTGCTGGTAAGGAGCATGCCTCCAGTTTTCAATTCCTCCAGGCATTCCTAAAGACATATTTTCGTATTGGAGTAGAGTTCTGAGACTACCAGTAAATCAGTAATATGAGATGTATTCACCCTATTTCGTCTAAGGACTGGTATCAGAATTTTCCCACAATGATATGAGTTGAGCTAACGTTTCCATTGAATTTCACATAGCCTTGCTTTCCCAAAAGTTGTTCTCATCCAGGGTGGACTGCATCGGTCTTATCAACACCCTCAGCAGGAGTCGAACCGCGGCATATCATATTCTTAAAGACAGTTCTTACTAAGGATGGTCTGTAGCCTCGACAGCATCTATGCTCCATTATGACTAGAGTAGATCCTAGATAGGGACGGCTTTTTTGGGATGCATCAAAAAGTTAAATTTTTGGCAAAAACCAAATGGTCACTTCATTTAATCGTGGTCAGGATTCAATAGAAAGAAATATAATCAGGTGTACCTCGAGTAGCTCAAAAGCAAAAATTGTGTATATTAACTAGTTTGGCAAAATTTTTCAAGGCCTTCATTGCCGATTTTGATTGTATAAATTGACCTATTGCCACTTCATTACCTAAATAATGCATTGGTTATATTATGTCCCCAACTTGAACCAGCAACTACTTTATTAGCTAATAGATTTTATGCGACTTATAAGTAGTAAGATAAATATATTAAA